TGTCTGTTCAAACAAAGCCTGGTATATCTGATTCCTCCTTGCTGTAGACCTACATTGTTTTCCAGAAATGCAAAATGAGTGACACCTCTGCACTGGCTGACATGTTGCTCGATTGTCATGAACATGGCTACTATAGTTCAGTTTGTGTCAGTCTCACATACACCACCATTCTGTTGTAAATACAGCGCCAAGTCTGCAGCTAGTTCCCAATAAATGCCTTTACCCGTTTGGGTAAAGGACACACTACCCGCATCTGCAGTGTGTATTTGCAAACGTTCTTCACTAGAGTAGAGGTCTCACCTTTTTAAAAGGGATCTGTTCATAGCTATTGACAATATACCAGCAACATATACACCTTTCACTAGAGTTTCAATGTATAATACATATATTTTTTAACCCCACACCTCCTTTATCCATTTCAGATCAAGAGCTTTCAAGCGTTTCTGTTCGTTTTTGTATTCATCAAACGCAAATTCAATGTAGAAAGCTTGTGCTGGCAGCAGCAGCATAAACGTGTGTGTGTGCAAGGCGTGCTAGCTGCAACATTTACAGTTTGTCCGGGCATACTGGTTTAAATATGTACAGTGGTGTAACAACACCGCCTACAATTTCTATTACTGCCATGCAAATTCTACAATGTCCTAAACTTTTAACAACCGCTGTAAATGTATTTTAAATAAATACTTTTGCAGTGACCAACAATGTTGGGTATATGGTGTTTGTGAGGTTTGATAAATCCAAATCCTGAGGTGTTAATTTCACTATTGCAGCTCCAATAGTAGTATTTCATAAAAGTTTGAGGCACAATCATGATGTCACTGGGCTACAATTATTTATAGCATGAAAATTCACATCCGCTGTGATGCTAAAAACCACAGTACACAGCTGTTCTAAAATATTTAGCCTTTTTAAAAAAAATTTAAATATATAAATTTGTTATCTCGTTTTTAAAGATTTACATGTTCAGCTGGAGCCAATGGCCTTGGAGCTGACAGAAACAGACACGGCAGAGAAATCGTAAAGTGTGACAGTAAGAAACATAAATAGAATACAATTTTATTCAGAAGGGCAACATGCTCAAAATATGCAAACAGTAACTTTGCAGTCTTTTACAACATTGTTTTTCAGACAGTCGAATGAATAGAGATCTAAGAATGTTAACACATACACTGGCTGGTATGGAAGAGTATATAGGCTAGGCCCATTTTCTTGTCCCTTGTTCCCTGAGGTGAGGATTGAGAGGTTTTACCGGTAAACAGAAGTGGCAGACCTCGAAATGTTGTTCCAAGTGTCTCTCCACTGGGCTCTGACGATGTGGGAGAGATGACTGCATGCCTGATGCGTGTCTTCAGCGGTTAAGAGCTGATAGAAAAGCCATTTGTGTCCAGCCTCCCATCCACCATCCTACAGGGAACTCCAACTTGAAGGGAAGAAAGCGGCCTGTCGGGTGTCACATCGGATCAATGTTGGTCTTTGCTGAGTTCCACTGTTCTGCCATCTTATCAGATAGGAAGAGAAGTTAAAAAAACCAACAAAATGTGAAGATAAACAGTCTTGGAATTTGTTGATAGCTTTGCATTATTAGATGGATGAGGAGGCGGTGCAAAGACACAAAGTGTAATTACAGTAGCACTTCAGTAATGAAGCTCACGTGCTGGAGGAGGTTCTCAGTGTGGCACAAGAGACCAGCAGTGTGTCAGTGAAGACAGATTTATGAACACGGCCCTTAATTTAGCTTGTGTGCTGCGTACAGTAAATCACAGAGCAGATGCCAGCCAAAGGGGTTTTACTATAATTAATCAAGTAATTTATAAACAAGCAAACAAGAATAAATGACTCCAATATAATCAGCTGCCCCTGCTTCGTGCCTGTCTGTTACTTTATGTGAGTGTGTTTAGGTGTTTTATATTCAAGAAAAAATAAAGTTGTGTGTGTGTGTGTGTGTGTGTGTGTGTATACATGTGTTTATTGTGCATGGTTACACAAAGTATATTTTTGTAGTAAAATTTAAAATGATGCAAGCGTACACAAATGAGAGCAAGTTTGTGTGTATGTGTGTTGTTTTGAATTGTGTGTGTCTGCTTTGAGTGTGTGTGCGCGCCTGTGGGCTTCTGGTTTGCTTGAGCAGCAGTGGTGGTAGAGAGGACCGATGAGGAGAGATGGGACCAAGCGGAGGGTCATTAGTGCTCTCTTTGATAAAATGGAGAGCCAAGGGACTCTTGAGGGAGTGTAGCACATACACAAACACACACACACACACACATACACACGCATTAGACTGTTCTGTATTATTCTGCCAGAATTAACAAGTGACTGTGTAACGCCCCTCTGGTCCTATCTCACGTCCTTTTGAAAGAGTAAGAAAAGAGTACTGAGAGCTGTAGACAGACACACAAAATATCACAGTGCCGTTTTCCCCAATTTCTTAAACTAATACTGAATAACCCAATACTTATCTCACTACCTTTCTTTGAAAAATGTAAAGAGGTTTTCTTCAGTCTGCAATATCTGTTTTTTGTGTTTGAGTTATTTCAGTTGAGAGATTTCTGTGTTTGCGTTTTCCTCTGTGCTCTTCTCTCCTCTGGTTTAAAACAGACAGCGCTCAGTGGGGAAAAAAGATGATGTCATATTTTTGTGCACCAATCACAATTTCAGCACAGTTTTAATGAGAATATGATGACAGTTGGAGGGTTTTGCATCCATTGACAGGCTTCTGGTCGCTGATTCACTCAGCACTCCCCATATTATATGCAGTCAATAGTCTTTTCGGACACTTCATCATTTTATGTCATCACTGGCAGGTGTAGCGTTGCACAATTAATTTCCCCGGCTATAAAGTGTTACACATTGTAGGGTTGTTGGCAGAAAGTAGCATATATGCCATAGGCACTATTTCATTTGGGAGGGGCACTATGTAGTGGGTAGATTTCCCACTTAACACTGACATAAAAGAGCAGACAATAATAATAAAATCTGATCAAAACACCTACACAGCCCTGATGAAACAGACTATCTGGGTTTTCTGCTAAATAAAAAAAGATGTATTTTCCAAACTTTGATTTTAAAGTATCTCCCTTTTATTCTCTTGCACAGCATCTATATTGATCAGTAATTGCAGGTGTGTTTTTGGACCTCACTTCCTATAGATCCAAACAGTGACAAGTGTGTCAACTGTTTGGACAGTTCAACTGTGCTAAATTAGACAATCAGATATCCAACTAGTGTCATAGGTTTTAACTTTAGCTTCTATATTTTCTGAGGTAATTTAATGACAGCTAAATAAATGATAAATTAGCCCTAAAATGATCCCGATGTTTTCAGACCTGATGACTGACGAACAGGAAATCTGCAATTCCACCAATGGTGCCTAATTTAGTTAGAGTAGTCCAAAAGAAAGAGAGCCACATCATGATTTTTCCAACCAATGACGCCACAGACACCCAGACGTCGTAATCCTTCAATTGCAAGGGCTTTCATCAGTCTGCCAAAGGTTCAGTTGCCATTGTGTTACCTATTTGGCGATAGTTAATAACTTAACAGACATTTATTTAAATTTAAATCTTTGAGGTTTTCACTTTAAGTCAACAGCTTGAATGTAATGGAGGATCTTGTCCAACTTGCAGCTTTATTTGTAGGCCAAGCATTTGCAATGAAGAGCAGACAACATCTTCTGACAGCATCTGTCAGAATATCTTCTTTACAAGCCTGCATGAAACACTGGCCCGTTTGAAAGATGAAAAAAGGGCAGGCTATTGCAATTTTTGGAAATTGCAGTAGTCAATTCAATAGCTAGTCTGTTTGTTCATTCAGTCAATCATCTATGTATTCATTTATTTACTTTCCAACTATTTTGCAACCCTTCTTCTTGTCAGTGAGAGAGTCTGTGGTGGTGTTTTTTTTTGTGAGCTGTTAAAATGCCACAGGGGTCGCTCTGAACTCCAATAACATGCATGAGTGTTTCATGCAAAGGCTCATGGGTAGGCTTTAAGAGGACACTGCAGCTACTGGCTGTGAAACTGGCACGTTAAACACAAGAGTGAGAAGACTTCTGAATAGGCTGTGTACATAATGTATGTACGGTCTGTGAGATGTGTGCCTGTACTGGATGTGTTTTGTGGTGCCAATTGTTGAGAAAGAGGACACATCACGAATCATGAATATATTCTATCAGTGAATATACAGTAATAGTTAATGGTAATAGTCATTATTTTCAGACTACAAAGACGACTTGTACAATAAGAACAGTCCTAACGGAGAAGGCCAGTGGTTTCTACCTGGCTGACTGCAATTTATTTTTCCCTTTTCTCTTCATCTTCCTCAGTATTTCTGCTGAGTCACTGCTCCACACCGCTGCCATGCTCACACACTCTCTCTGACTGTGCTTTTTCTTTTGCTAGACTGTTCCCTCCGTATACCATGTCTGTCTCTTCTCAATCACCTTCTCTACTCTCCCTTGTCTCCAAGGCTTTCTGTCTTTTTTTATGAATCTCCCCTTTTCCTCCCACCTCTGCTCTGTTCCCCTCAACCCTTTTTTTGTGTCCTCAGACGTCTCTCTCTTTGTCAGGATTTCAATATCTCACTCCACTCTCTTCACTTTTTCCTTTTATTTCCAACATTGTTCCCACTGGCTAATGGAGATTTTGTGACTGATAATCTAGCTCGTAAGATTATACATTAACTTTTTGCAGTCTTGGCCTCAGAGAAACTGGCCGGTGGAGATGGGAAGGATGTGTGGTTTTAAATAGACTGTTGTAGATTACATCGATGAGATTGCTTTAAATCCTGCTGGAGTCCTGTTGTAACGGGCCTTATGTTTCACATAATGAGCTTTAAAGGGAACGCTGAGGGGAAATGTGTGCAGGCCTGTGATTCCTAGCCTGTGACAGTGATTTTTTTTAAGCTTGGATGAGATTGTAAAATATATATCTGCTATTGTTTAGGCTTCACATACAAGCAAAAACAACTCTATTTACCAAGTCGGCATTTTATTTTATTTCCAGGTGTTCAAGTCAAAAGTACTGGAGCTGGGAGAGAAGCTGCTGCCTGCCTTCAACACGCCAACTGGAATCCCCCGAGGAGTCATCAACCTGGGGAGGTGAGTCTCAGTGCCAGGCTTCACCTCCAACTGTCCTGCATCCTCGATAAAAGACGATATCAAGTCATCACGCTGGCTTGCATTAATCAGTGCTCATGCAGTTTGTTTCATCTTGTCAACCGGAGGCAGAGGTTAATTTAAAAACGTGAGCTGACATGCAAGTCGTCAACAAATAGGAAATATGCTAATATTGTATTGAGCCCCTCCTCTAATCCTCTAATGTTACAACACCGAATTTACAATTTCAGTTATTGTGATGCCTCGGACCAGCTTGGCACATAAAAATAGACTTTTACATGGTCTAAAGAAGAGAGAAAGAACAAAGTAGATCCAGATCTGTGATTGACAGTACCAATATGGTCTGCATGAATTTGCTGATATAACTTTTTGATAAAAGTGAATTTGAAAGGGAAAAAAAACAAAGTTGTCTAGACAAACGGGTCCACAGTCTCTGTTTATTGACAATGGAGCAGGCTGTGCTTTACAATGATGATGACATTTGGATAAGAATTAATCTGTGTTCACAAACACTTTGGAAGATCATATGAATAATATTTGCATGTTTTAAATGAGTTGTGCTAATTTTTAATCTGTTCCGAACCATTACCTTTCTAATCTAAAATCTTTATTGACACGATCTTGTTAATGCCACGGTCACGCAACACAACTTCAACCCATTTTTATTTTCAAAACAATTTCACCATGAATTTCAGTTTATATTTGGGTTTGACCTTTTTTTAGGCAAGACAGAGGACAACAAATGTGCCCCTTGTTTTTTAATTAAAAAATGTTATAGTGAGACTGAAATAAGACATGGAGAAGATTACAGGGGAAAAAATCTAACTGATGAGTGCTGATAACAGCGCTGTGTCGGTGACTGTAACAGTCAAATTATCATCGCTAGCCTACACATCCACAGCCTGACTTTACCTCTGTGTTTCCTTATCAACACACAGTACAATGCATGAAGAACAGGGAAATAACGTCACATCATTATTCATTTGGATGAAGTGCTCTGTGGGACTGGATCTAAAATACTACACTCATACAGCCATGTTTGTAATTTTTAGTTGAAGTTATTTAGCCAAATTTTAACTGTCAAACTCTTTTGGTGTCTGTCTTGGTAAATTTTACAGTATAAAACGCAGCTCTTCCCCTCATTTCCTAATCTTATAAGAAACTTCCTGGCACCTCTGTCATCCACCTGCTACCAATTAACCCAGCAGCCAAGCCGGACAGCTGCTGGCACATTTAATTACCTTATTCTACAGTTAATTCCTACTACATCACCAACATGGGTCTGTTGTACAGATGGGCAGGAGGAACCAGGCTGCCCATAGTGTGGTCATGTGGGGTGTATGGAGGCACACAAACAGGTGTATCCACATCAAGCACACACAAACACACACACACACACTCACACACACACACACACACACACACACATACGTCACTTCAGAAGAGAACATATGCAGGTGATAACAGGACATAAACAGGCAGTGAGATCTCTGCACACAGGGGGGTTCAGTGAGCTCTGAGCAGTGTGCCAGGTATTTTCTTAAATGCTCATCAAATGGCAACATTTAAGTGAAAATACATTTCACTTCATTCATAAAGCTGAAACGGTTTTGTTTTATAAATCTCAATCATTGTGGAAACGAACGCAGGTGAACAAGCTTCACTTCCACTCCCACAATTATCTGTAAATGGATGGCTGTAGAAATGCCCTTCAACATCAGTTTGCATAGGTTACAGCTTATGTTTCATCTCCTCCTCATCATTTCATCCACAGCTGCATCCAAAACCGGGTGTACGGTCGGAAGTATGTGTGAGGTGTGCACATTTTCACAAAATATTCTTCATATTTTTCTTTAATAAATACCAGTTTAAGTACATACACATCGTTAATATAGCTCTATAAGGTCGGTATAATTGTTTTCTTTTTTAAGTGCTGAAACGAGTACTTGATTAAGCAATCAGTTGATTTAGGTAATTTTCCCAGCAATAATGTCAGACATTTTTGTTGCTGCTTCTCAATTCTGAGGATTTCCTGGTTTTATTTTTCAAATGGGACAAATCTGAATATCTTACAGGTCCAGTGTGTAGGATTTAGTGCCGTCTAGCGGTGAAGTTTCAGACTGCAGCTAACTGAAAACCCCTGGCGTCTGTATTTGATGACCTGGGAATGAGGCTGAGAAGTGTGCAGGAGAAACTACGGTGGCTGCATGGCACTAACGAAAATATAACGATTCCTATATTCAGGTGATAATACACTAATGGAAACATACCAATGAGTATTTTATTCCATATAGATCCTCTTTAATGTTATACACTGGACCTTTGAGGTTTTGGACAATGGACAATTATCCAGAAAATAAGCCTTTTAATCGATAATAAAAATATTTGTTAGTTGGTTTATTGCTTGTAATAACAGATAACACCCTCCGCCCTGCACCTCCGCTTTGATTCTTGGATTGATTCTCTTTAAAGGAGGAATCAGATGTGACTCGAGCCAGAGCTTCTAATGATGCAGCCCCCAAACTTTTAATGGATGCATTCATCAGCATAGCAAACTCTTTTGATTACTTTCTGCCCTCACATGCCAGCCACCTCCCACTGTTTTTTCTCCCTCCATCTTCTTCCCTTCTAACGAATTCAGTTCAATTCATTACCGGATGTCTGATCTTCTATAGCATCTATTAGAGGATATGTAAAGTCATTCTAGTAGTACATTCTGCCTCAGATAATCATAGGTGGGCATTAGAGCCCCGTCTCTGCGACTACGCATTTGCAGAGAATTAGATTTGCAGTGATATTACCCACACTGCCTTTAGGAAATAAGCTGAAGTGTGTCATGTGTTTCTGACCTTGATGTTCTTAGTTTCAAGGTAACTTTTTGAAGCTGTCATCGGACTGTGAATACACATAATTTGGCTGTGTTTCAGGTTGAGGTTAATGAAACAAAAACACAAACATTATTCATGGCAGGCAACAGTAAACTTTCTTCATGGTAGATGATGGTAAAGGTTAATTCACACAGACTTCTGATACGTTTATTTTTAGCAGCTAATTTGCCTGACATGTTGTAATTAATGTTTATGGTATCCCAGCTTATGTCAACTGACAAGTTGTAAATGATTAATCGATCATCGAATTGTTGCTGATTCATTTTCTGTCAAATGCTAATTGTCTACCCATCTAATTGTTTTTGCTCTAGTGTGTCGCTTTATAGTCAAGGAAGAGTGAGTTTAGGAGGAAGATACATGGTATAAATAACAATAGTTAAATGTTCAAATAGATCAATATACTTTGGATTGAATACATTGTACAGATCTCTGGAGACATACAGTAAAGGTTACTGATTTCCATTTGAAAAGGGAATAAAAGGTAAGACCCAAGTCTGTCTGTCGTGATGCATTAAGTAGACTCTGAGTACAGAAGGCCAAAAGGTCCACCAGTTCTAAAACGTTGATCAGCTGCATGTTCTGAATATGATGTTCAGTGTTATAACTGAGACAGAATCACACCTAAGTGGAAAATACTGAAAGAACTATTGTACTGGTTGGCTGGAGTTCACAACAACAACAGTCCTGCTGATACAAGAGGATCTTATGAAACTGGAATTGACTGTAAAACTTTTAACTCACCTGAAATTCAGAACATTGTGCTGTATTAGATGAAGAATGTAGACTGTACTCATGTACCAGTGGCACTTTTATTTAGTCTGTCATAACATACCAGTTGTCATATACACACCATGATAAGTTGCATATTCCTTACTTGTTGATTCTAATTTGATGGCATGAATACTAACAGGGTCAGTAACACCTACAGTGTGAAGAGACATAGTGATAGAACAATCCCAATGCCGCTAGTCCCTAAATGCAATGCTCTGCCACCTTTGGTATTTACTTTTACATACAGTCATCTAATAAAGCGTTTGTACCTGTAGATGCCTGTGTGACAGCCATGATACTTACTCTACTTTTTGCATGTTGTCTCTGTTGCAGTGGCACCAGTTGGAGCTGGGGGTGGGCCTCAGCCGGGAGCAGCATCCTGGCTGAGTTTGGGACCCTTCACCTTGAATTCGTCCATCTGACGGAGCTCTCCAGGAATTCCATCTACACAGAGAAGGTTTCTGATTAACTACCATTTCTGCTTTCCAGCCTTAAAGCGATGATAAAGTTAAATGTGTGAAACCATGGCAGTGCAATAGCCAGATGACATTCTTTTGTACCATGGTGTCTTTGCAGGTGATGAACATCAGAAAACTACTTAACAAGATTGAAAAACCCCATGGGCTGTACCCCAACTTCCTCAGCCCTGTCAGTGGCAACTGGGTCCAACGTAAGTACTGTGTCATTCTCTTTAAACATCTGTGAAATTGTATGATTATGGGTAAATCTGGGTTATAGAGAAATGTGTGTAACAGTTTAATTTGTAATGAAGGAAGGACAAGGTCAATGCCTCTCTTACATTATTATAAAAAACATAAGGTGTTATTGTGACCTTGGTGACCTCTGAGCTGACCTACAAAGGTCATTTTACAATATTTGTGTTTTCCCAAGGTGGGTCAAAATTACAGTACAAGACTTTGAGTTCATTGAATTCGAGTCATTTCACATTATCCCCATTTCTGAGTCTTTCCTTTGGCTTTCACGGCTCTGACAGACCTTGAGTCACCTCACGTGTCAAAGCTCTTTTAGCTGCTCATCTGTGTCATCCACCCATCCGTCTATTTCCTTTCATTTTTAATATCAGGCTCATAGCAATGGCTATATGACTCCCATTGCTCTGGGTTATTAAAATGATAATGAATTCAATTACTTTAGGAAATTGGATCTTTCCGATTTACCTGAAAGGAGGTGAAAAAAATCATGGGATAAGACGAGGTTGGGACTAAAAGGGGGTAATCTGATGATTACAGAGGCTAATTGTTGTGGGTGAGCATGTAGAGAAGCAAAATTGTATATATTCATTCCTACAAAGGAAAAAGAAATCTTGGCTTCACAGCCCTCCCTCATCTGTCAGTGTCAAGGACAAACACAGCAGTACTGTGATAACCTTGCGGGGGAGTCTGCACAGGTGTGCATGCAATGAGCATGAGTGGATGGATTTAGAGTCATGCACGCCTCCATTGCAATATCATATTCATCTTTATGAATTTGAATGTGGACTCAAGAGCAGGCAGGAGGAAAATCAACAGCCACTTGTTTCAATTTCCACTCACATGCTTGAAGTGTGTTACATAATTTAGGTTTTAACTTTCAAATAAACTATTTTCTACCATCGGTGAACAGAGAGAGTGTGGGTTCACAGTCTGTGATCATGCATACCACAAACTACCCAGAAAACCAACTGACAGTGACAAAATGTAGACAACAGTAAGAATGGAGGTCTCTGTTTTGGATGTTCTACCACAAGACACTTAAGGTTTTGTAAGACTGTGATTCCAGCAAACCAGACATGAGTTAATAAGATATGGCGGCCTGTAAGACTTGATTTGTGAATGGAATAACAGGGTTTCTGCAGTGTTCACCAAGTTAAATTTAAGACTTTTAAGACCTTTTTAATACCATAAAGAATTCTATTTAATACCTGTTTCACAGTTATACCGGCCAAAGAATTAAAGTATGATGGAAAACCAGTGGGGACAATATGGCCTAGAATTATTTACTATTATATGATATTTTTCAGTATTTCCCAGCAGAATATAACAATAATTCATTAAATTAATGCGATGGGGACCTGGGTAAGCAGCATAAAATGGATGGATTAATCAATGACATCCTGAAAGACCTGTGTGTGACCCTGCTGAATATTTTTATACAACCCTGTTTCCCTCCTATTCCTCATCTTAGATCATGTTTCCATCGGTGGCCTCGGGGATAGTTTCTACGAGTATCTGATCAAATCATATCTGATGTCAGACAAGACAGACGACGATGCGAAGAAGATGTACTATGGCGCACTAGAGGTATGAACATTATAATCTTACATTTCACACAGAGCGATGGGTAATAATTACAGTAATTTGCATGAGCCTTTGATCAAACAAAGTGCACAAAATTCTTAACACCCAAGACAAATAAAAGACAAACTGTTACACAAAACAATAAGAGGACAGCCGGTACATTGCTATAAGTTTTAGTGGACAGTAAAAGGCTGAGTGAAGCATACAGCAGTCTTATATATATATATATATATATTATATAGTATACATGGCTTCATTCATCTATTAAAGTGAATGCTTTTTGTCATTCAGACGAAGGTGTCAGTTACCTAAATATTCCTCATTCAGACATGACAGCACTTATACGGAATGAGCCACAATGCTTGAGTGGTATTTGGAGTGTGCGAGAGGGAGCTTTGAATTAAAAAATAATACATGATAAGAAGTAAAAATAGAAGAACATTCTCTGTCCTCACGCAGGCTGCATTAGAGATGGATTTTTATTATTTAGTATTTCGCAGTTGGAGCCTTAATTAATGTGAGCACAACTGTTCCGACAGAGCACAAGCATAGAGTCACAATACGTTAAGTTGGGGCCCATGTTTAATTCCTGTTTGCTCACATGGTGTATGTAAAGAGTTTTGCTGGATGTTAATTTATCCATGGAGTTTGCAGAAATTAAAATACAGAGTCAGTGCTGATCTGATTACTACTGTTGTGCCATGTTGGTTTTACAACAATGTCCTGTCTAATAGCATCCCCCTCCATTTCTGAGGGAGAAGGAGAAATTACAGAGGCTACGAAATGCATGATAAAGGCAATCCAGAGCTAATGTTTGGTTTGTCCGTTCTGGGCTACTGTTAAAGTAGTAGTAGTTTGTTCAACATGGCGACCTCCATCGAAGGCTACCTGCAGTGTCTGTAGACATAAACGTCTCACTGTAAGGTAACAATAACACAATGATTCTTTTTTCAGGTGTTTATACACTAATGAAAACATGGTTATGCATATTATATTCAATTTCTGACAACAGATTCTCGTAAATGTTACACACTGGACCCTTAAGTAAAAGTGACTCAGATGCTTATTTGTTCATTAGACTAATATGTTAAATTGCCATCACATTTGCATGACAAGATTCATTTCTGAAAGTGGCTATACTGTGTAAAAAAAAATAAAAAATAATAATGGAGTAATAATGCAAAGCATGTTACTCAAAACCAGGGCTTTTATGCATAGATACAAATGTTTATGTAAATTCAATGAATCTTCAAAAGTGGGTGTAGAGTTATAGTGGATGCTTTTATTCAAAGTACCATACCATGATTATGTACAGTAGCAGTACTTTTGTGACAGATATTCTTTGGGGAATGGTCATAAAGGAAAGTAAGGAAAATAACATCAAATAGGAAAGACTCCTGGTACTGCGTAATGTGATTAGAGCTCTGATTAGATCGCCACTGACTTGTGTATTTATATAATGTAATGTAAAATACTGTCTGCAGAAAAAAATCTATGCATGCGAACCAACTGCACAGTATTCACATGCATAAAAATACACTCGGAGCCATCTGTTTTCCTCTTTAATGGAGATAATGTCAGAGTAAAGCACATTCCCTCTGGCTGCAATTATAGTATCCCAGACAATAAGTTAAGATTTCCATTGAAATTTCCTCAGTTCTCATCAGAGGGTCAAGCCAGAGGCATAACTACTAATTACAGACTCTCTTTCTCCCCTGTGACTTGGTTATTTAAATGGCCATGGACCCCAGCACTATCAGATTAGGTTATATACTGTGTGTTTATACAGAGATCTAAGGTGAAGGCGCAGCACAACTCATTATCTTTGGCAATCAAATACAAGTAGATTACTAATTAAAACAGTGTTGAATGAGAGAACATTTTCCAATTATCCTATGCCATGATTACTGCTAACAACAGCTAATTAGTAGGAAAATTATCAGTCTACGCCCTCAAGAAAAATGCTTTTTCTGAGAACATGGTATTTATAAGCTTTCATATTATACACATTGCTTTGTTTTGCCCTCAGTTATAGCAGGTTGCATCTTAATCAAACCTTATTTAGCATAAAAGGTTTCTCATACAGTATATAGCAGCGGTACGAGGGAATTGTTTCATTTCTCACTCACAAGGTAATTTGGAATTAAAATATCCTACTCAGCAAAACCAAACGTTCTTCACGTATAAATCTGAAAGAGAGGGTCTTAATTTCCTCGTCTTTCCTTTTCAAACTCATCCTGAAAGAGCTGTTAAAGAAAGACGAAAAATAATAAATGATTGGACTTGGGATTCAAGAGGGAGTTTACACTTAATTATCAGCACTTTGTGAGGTGTTGCTGCTGAATATCACAAACCTGAATTCAAATGCAAAATGAGCTATGAGCCAGACAGAATGGGTTGGAGGTAGATGAGGAAAAAAAACAATCTTTAAAAGAGAGAGAGAGAGAGAGAGAGAGAGAGAGAGAGAGTGATGAGTCATTCAGAAACAATCTCATCAGATGGCCTTCTAGCTGTAATATTTTGTCTTATAAAACATAAACCACTGACAATAAGCACAGCTGCAAACAGAAAAAAGAAATCTTCCTTTCCTTTTCTCAGCCTCCTCCATTAGTCCTTCATTTTTTTTATAATCTCTTTTTCACAGGCTATCAGGTGGAAACCCTCAGAGGGTTGACTTCCTGTTATACAATACATACATAATTTACCATATAAATACAGAAATGTACAGTGTAACAGCCATGTTTAAATCTTCCCTTATGTGTATACAGAGTCTCCACATATACAAGCCTTCATAGAAAACACAGTGAATAGATAGCCCTGTTGGGGATTTAGAAAGGTGCATCTTTGGTGGTTCAACATCCAATTCCATCTGAATTGTTTAAATGATTGCTGTCAGATCAAAAATAGTTTGAAAAGTTACATCTCAATGTAGTTTATGTGTAAACTAGCTTCATTGCAGCACAGTTACGATGTGGTAGGTGGTAGCGGTGGGAGAAATATACAGAGGTTTTACTTTAAGTAGCTACAAGAAAGTTTTATTTTACTGTATATTGATTCTGGCCCCTATGGATAAAAGTGGTAGTGTTTCCACCACCTATTTCAAGGGGAATCCAACCCAGTGGAGTAGCTTAAGTAGTTATTAGAGTAGTAAATGAGTACATTAACCTTGAATAAAACTAATTTGTGTAGATTATCTGCTTGGATACAGTTGTGATATGTAATATTATTACATGGCAATATCAATAAAAATTTTGTGGGAAAACAGCTAAACAGGTTTGGAGACAGCTGAACTGGAGATTACATTTAGGCAGAGAGGGCACCAAAGCATATCTGCAAGTGGTGGCTAAACAGCGAAGATCCAACTATCCTTGCAGATGTTAGATATGGACACTTCTCAGGTCTCAGGAAACAACTAGGTTTAACACAACACAATCTCCGTCAGTGCTGTATTTGATGGTGGAAAATATTTTCTCTCACTTTCTCCTTGGGTACATCAAGGCCTGGTCAGATTCCAAAATATAACTAAGGAATGCACAACATTGCTGCTGCAGTTTAAACCTTCAAGTACAGAATGTAAAGCTGTTAATGGTAGACAGTGACAAAACCATTGGTGAAAGAATCCTAATCAACCAAGGAGTCACAATAATGTGGCACAGTATGTCAATAATTAAGGGCCAGTACATATACCAGGTTCCTGTCTGTGTGTGTTGCTGCAGGCGATTGAAGCCAACCTGGTACAGAAGTCACCTGGTGGTCTCACCTACATGGCCGAGTGGAGGGGAGGGATCCTGGATCACAAGATGGGCCACCTGGCCTGCTTCTCTGGGGGCATGATCGGCATTGGGGCTGATGATGGTGCACCGGAGAAGAGGCAACACTACCTGGACCTGGCTGCTGAGATCACACACACATGCCATGAGAGCTACACTCGCTCAGGTGAGTGGAAATGTCAGGGAAGCTGAGGAGTGTACAGAGAGAACAGTTCAGTTCAGTAGGCTCAATGTTGTGCAGGAGGAGGGCGGCGGACAAGACACTGCTCCTGTTTATTTTCTTTTGGATACAAAATGTACTATGTCAAACTGAAAGGTCATGTAGGAGTAGGAGTTTTGGTTAGAGGATTTTATCTGTGATTTTACCACAACAAGGCTATGCTTAATGCACTGCCCTTTCCTTTTTCAAGTTTTGGTTTCATTTCATCTATTACTAACCACTAGCTCGACAGGCTAATGCAACACAGTCCTGCCTACCAGTTGGCACTGAATATCTTCTCACAACCATCGACATATAAAAAGATGGACGACATGACGGCTCCCCAATAGCAAAATCAAAACACTCGCTGGAGGCTGACAGCAGTATAGGTCATGAAGCCTTTTCACGTCATGATTGACAGCTGAGCTATGGTCAGCTTGAGTTGGCCAGGGTGTATGGGCGCGTCCTCGATACCACGGCACTAACCTCGATCACTACTGCGCAGACTCCGGCTCCAAATCACGTCATCAGTGCAAGATGGCACCGGCCTTGTCTTTAAAAATCTGAATTCATAAGCTTCTCTTTAGACTGAAATAATTCTGTATTTTTCAACATAGCACAAATTGGCTCTTCTTAAAAAAAACAGTGGAATTTTATGGTTCATCATTGTTGTGGTACACTGCATCTGTCTTATTAAGAAAAGGTTATGGTGGCATTCAGAGTAAGAAAATTGTGAGTGTAGGAGAGCAATGTTGTAAATTAAAAAGGCCCCAGGCGTTTTAATTTTGCCCTGCCTGAAAAGGAGAGTCGTTCTTGGTGGCTTCACCTCAACAGAGAGACGACAGGCCTAATAAGGAGCAGCGAAGAATTAAAGTCCTCAATTATTCTTACCGTTGTAGACAGCAGTCATGGCGGTGCAAAGTGTGTTCGATACTGATAATCACACTTTTGGTGTAATTCAGGAGAAAGAATCACAAAAGGAGACAAGAACAGTAAATGGAGCTAAAGTATGGAAGAGTAAACACTGTGATAAAATCCACTTGCAAATTAACTGTGGTTCCGACCTGTAAATGAGGGAAAGTAGAGGAGTTCTGATACGGTTGTACTCGCAGACTGAACCCTGGAGAAAGAAAGCAAGGATTAAAAAACAGCAATACAGTAGTGTGCCCAGGTACAAGCTGCCCACTTTTTTCTCTGGAAGACCTTCGTTTGATTTTCTCTCTGCCCTGGCATCTGTCTTGGCTGTGACAATAATCTCTCCTGCTAATTTCAAGCTTTTTTTTGCCCCCTCCTCCACTGTTGGGTGGGCTGTGCAGCTTCATCCTCCAAGTGTTCATTCGCCTTCGCTTCTCCTGCAAGCTAATATGACTCATCACATAACAGGTTACTTGATGCGCTTGGAATACTTTTGATCTGTAGGCCCAAAAGGCTTCTCTGGCTTTCTCTTTCATAGTCATCCACCAGGTTTCTCTTCACTCATTAAAAAGGAATGGATGGTGCTTAGCAGCTCTTGGATTAGCTGTGCGGGAAAGAGAGACTCTGAGATTTGCTCTTGCATGTACGTAAAGTGGCTACTATTTAGCTGTGTCTTAAATACTGATACCATGAAGACTCTCCTTCTGCTGCTGTTCTGGATCTCTGCCATCTTCACAGCAACAGACTGATGCTGGAAAATGGGTCTCTCAAAAAGAAGCAGTAGGAAGAGAAAAAGGTTATTGGCTTTAGAGAAAAGGTTGTAATGGTTTTTAATGCCTAACTTTGTGTATTTCGACTATTGAGACGTAAGAGCTGATGTAGAGTAGATAGAGTAACTTGAGAGAGACTGACAGCATGTATCACTTAGCTCTGACTTATTGTAAATTCTAACTACTGCTCAAATATAAATATTTTATCTAAAATAAGGAGGATATTGCCTTGCAACATTTATTTATGTGCTGAGGCAAAAAGCAAAAAATGTGGACAGGGTTATTTCCATAAATGTTAGCGTTCAATCTTGAATTCTGAAGTGAAGTTAGTTCCAATTCATTTAATCTTTATTTATTTTTTAAAAATGATGGCCCTTTTATCATGCAGTCATTGAATTTCACCCTTGAAGCCAATGAAATAGCTGTCCCAGGATTTCCAAGTCCTTATTATTCAGTTTTTTTAATATAATTTCCTCTACACCTCTTTAAGCTTGATGAGACTGAGACTTTAGCATAATTGCTGTTAAGCCCACATGCTTTAAAAGATAACATAGTTTAGACCAAAAATGTATATTGGTGTAAAAAGTTGTTATTCAATTCCCTAAACAGGTTAAAGAAATCCGGAGACTAACTAAATTGTGTTTGATGCAGGCGTGCTATTCACAAACACAATTGAAAAATCAATTGTGTTGTCTGCACAACCGATGATTCTCTACTGAATTAGTGTTTTAATTCCAATCACAAGCATCTACAGCCCAGAGGATTATTTAGTTCAAAACAGGCAGTCAGGAAGCAGAAAACAGAGAGTGGAAAGGCCCCAGAAAGGTTTAGAAACCAGAAAGCTGTAATGAAAAGTGTTCCAGTTGGACTGAGCTGTGAGGTGACAGGTGTTGAATAGTTATGTTGTGCTGTGAAGGCGTAAATTGGGCTGAATTTAATAAGGCAATGGTTTTTGATCTCTAGTAGTGATATGAAGAAGTTGTTATATGAGTGGTTTGAGGTTTTTTAAACATACTTACACGTACATGTGCATGCAGGCGATGCACACACGTGCCGATGGGTAATCCACTAATAATAATAAGTGACATGTTTAATTTTCAAAAGCAGGCTTTTCTGAGATACTCAAAGACGTTACAATATAATAAAAGAAAGAATTACAAGAACATCAATAGGTAAAAAAACAAATAAAACAGTACATTAATATGTTAAAAAACACATTAGACTCAGATTTTAAAAGCCCATTTTGAAAAGCGTGTTTTTGTCAGTGATTTGAATGTTGGAGGGTCGGTACAATCACGGATGGCTGATCACTGATCTACAGGTGGAAGTAATGTTCAAAGAAATGCAGCAATGGGCCAACAATAGCAGAGAAAAATGCAAGCTAGTAATGATTTGCAAGGTAAGGGTGAAATGAGGAAGTTGCGTGACATCTAGTGGTTAAGTTTCAGATTGCAACTGGATGAACGCCACTCGCGTCTGTATTTGATGACAATGAGAACGGGCTGTACGGGGTGTAGGAGAAACAACACTAAAGGCCCTATCCACAGCAAGTCTTTGGTTTGTCCGTTTTGGGCTTCTGTAGAAACATGGTGGTTCCATGGAAGGCGACCTACGGGTCTCTCGATAAAAGTGGGTTACTCTAAGGTAACAAAAAGAACGATTCCTACATTCAGGTGATTAAACACTAATGCAAACATA